TGAAATAATGCCTTAAGCCTTTATAGTTATATTATAATCTTGTTTTTTATTACATGTGTAAATATTGTAAATAATGTAGTTATCATAACTATAACTAATATTGTCACCCTACTTTTTACTATTTTAACTAAAATTTATCATCCCTATAAACACACAAATAATTGCAATTACCATAATTAATGGTCATAAATGCCGGATTTTTAACATAAATAACAAAAAAAATATTAAATATTCGATCTTTCACATTAAAATTTTTATATTAACTCTGTATAGCAAAATCATGTGGGTACCTGTACACTGTACAGTGTACAGCGCTCACCACCATCTAACGGACGCTTATAAACATATTATACGGCGATGGACAGACTATAATCGTATTATTCGTATTATAAGTCATATAACGTTATAACTTATAAAATACAAGTGCCAACAGTAGTCTTCGGCGTACTCGGATGAAGGCCATGTCAACTACAACATATTTATGTCGAACGATTAAACAAAAAGCACATTTTAAATATATTATATGTTATCTTTAATGACTTTATAATAATAATTTCAGTGCCTTGAGCTAATAAATCATAAACTTTGGATGCATTTATTTCATAATATTTTAGCTGAACAAGGAATATTTCGGCGCAAATTTATGATATTTAATAGCATTTCATTTAAAAAACAATACTACTCACACATGCTATGAAGAACCTTCTATTTTCATTATTATAAAATATAAAAACTGCATTATATTGTATACCATATTAATATATATACGACATACGTGTAGGTATATAAAATAATTGAAACTTTTATTGTGAGAAACATCAAACGTTTTTAATATAAATTGTTGTTTTATTCATGAAAATATTTATAGTTCAGTTAAATTTCTGTGCTATTGTTATAATGGTTTCTATATACAATTTGATAATAATGTAGATTATGGTATATACATTACATATATAGTAAATTAGTACATATAAAATGTAATATGCATAATATTAGGTAATATAATATAATATAACATAATACGTCATAATATGTAATATAATATTTTGAACTATTTTAATGATATACATTTTGTCATAAATCAATATATTATTAATATCATGTAATGCGAAATATGTCAGAATCTTATATAACTCGATATTTGTAAATTGTAGATGCTTTAGGTGTAGGCGTTCATAGTTTTGCCTTATTTTTGTAAAAATGTTGGAGGTAATAATTGTTGTGTTCTACAATTTTATGAATTTTTTTTTGATTCAGGAAAGATTTTTCTGGTCTTTTGTTTTATATTCATATAAAGATTTCCGATTTTTTTCGGTTTTAATAATTTTCTTTTTTTTATGTGAAGTTATTGATTTTATAAACAAATACAATGCGTAGTGTTCTCTAACGGGACGTGAAAGACTTTTCTGATTTAATATTTACATTTTTATGTGAAGACGAAATTAGGTTTATTTGTAGGTAGGTACATAAGATGTTTTTTTTTTACATGCGTTTCACTGAGACTTCCGTTTTTACGGAGTTCATGCATACCTATTAAACTTTGCACATTAAATTGTATCCAAGTATCCAAAAGTTACAAATATTCAGTGACAGATTAGTACATTATTTAATAGTTTAGATAAAAAACACTTGGGAGCCATTAAAGATAATCACTTACAGTTAGGTCTGTATACATCATTATTAAAAACAACGTATTATTTTAATACATTTTATATCTTTCATATCTGCTTAAAAACGTCACATTTAAACGATTGCACAATAATTACAAGGCACTGAATAATGTCGAGCTTCTATCAATCATTACAACGGTAAAMCTCTAAGCTCATATATTGAAAACATACTCGTATATTTAGAATGGGATATTGGGGTATATAAGTAAGTAAACGATGAAATAATATACTTAATAGTGATCACTTACTCGTTACGGAGAAAAATATAAAAATAAAACTAGAAAATAAGATTCAATCATATCAAAAAATAAATTTTATTATAATATTATAATTTTTATTTAGTTTTAATAAATATGAATTTACTTAAAATCCCAATTATAGCTAAATAAGATTGGAAAAATTGTTATTTGAAGCTTAAAAATGTATTTAGAAAAATACAATAATTACAAAATAATACTACATACACAATAGAAAAAATATTTTTAGACAAATTATTTCAACTACAGTCATAACTTGTTCATACTGTTAAATCGTTAATTATATTTGCACTATTCGTGTATAAATACTACAACTAGTATTATTCGTTAAAATGATAGCTAACCGTTTATTAATGTAAAACCAAAGTAATTAATTAAATATATTTTAAATGTTATAAATAATTTATTACATATTAATTGTATTGTTTTTTAAATATATATATATAGAAACATAATAATAAGAACATGATTAAAATCTGAAAAAAACCATGTTTATTTTCCATTTCAAATATAAAATCTATAGTTTATGAAGACAATATTATAATCTCGATTGTATCAGTCAGATGTAGGTCAAATGACGGATGATAATATTGTAAATAAAGAGTTCAATGTGTATACGAGTATATCCAAGTTTTATTTAATATTTATGTGATGTGTTAGTAAAATAAGCCGTAAACTAATGTTTTGTTTTTATTTTTGCGATTGCTTGTCTACGAGTTATACGTTATTGATATAATATGAACAATTTTCAGTGGTTATAAAGATAATGATTATGAGCTGTGTAGGGGGCAAGAACKTGTAGGGCAAAATGCAATTTGCCCACAGATGCTTTCAATGTTTTCAGTTTGATTGTATTTTTGTGCGTTTTCTCAAATGTTTGCCAAATTGTTTTGTCACCCGTGTAATTGATGGCGTCTTTAGTTGCCATTTCTGATATTGAAATACTACTGAAGTATAGAGTAACTCACCAGCTGCTTTTTGGATTTTATTTTATTGTATTGAGGTTAGACAAAATTAATTTTGTTCAATAAAATGTTCTAGAACTATTACTGAAAATAATTTAAGAAATAAAATTCTAAAACGAAAACATAAAACAACGTTTCTTAAAAATACTGAAATGATCGAGGAATATTTTTAAATTCGTCGAATTAAGTATATTTGTTTTTTAATGTATGCAGTTAATTAATGAAGTTGATTCAAAAACTTTTTTTTAATTTTGAGTTTTATTGTCATAAAAACATTAAATAAGAAAAATGATCTAAGTTGATGTATTTTACCATGTTTATTTTGTGTATAATTGTGTATGTAGGTAACATTATAATAATAGAATATCATGTTGAGAAAACATTATTTGTCACGTCACATATATCATTGTCATTAATATTGCAGAATTATAACGTAGGGCTATATACTGATTATTGTAAGAAAACATCAAGCTTAAAAGTCATTAGCATCGACCATTGCCATAATATTAAAATTCCATAAGTATGCATACGACACGTCATGCACATAAAATAATATGACGTAATAACTGTGGTTATTATTAGACCGCAAATTATTATTACCGAGCATTATTAACTTATCGACGACAGAAATGTATAATTAAAAAATTATAAACCACCTAATAAGAAATATTGATATCACTTGAAATATATAATATTGCAGACTATATTCCCAACAACTTGGCTTGCAAATTGGATGCAATGTAAGCGTCTGTAGTCGTGCACTAACAGTTTTGAGTTTCGCTACAGTATAGGTACCTCACGCTATGTATTTATTAATAAATAATAATAATAAACAAAAATAAAAACCTAAGATATATTTATAAAAATAATATATCATCGATGAATAATATATTATATTATTATTCATCCACACAAGCCACAACGACAACAGTATTATTATTATTTTTTTAAACTTTATATCGTTGTCAATATATTACTAACATTTAATTTTAAACCATTTTCAGGTTCGTAAAATAATTATGACGTATAGGAATAATAAATATAGGATGGAGCTATAAAGCCATAAATATATTTGTAAACAAAGTCTGTGGTGGCTGACACCGCCGAGTGCCGACTGATGACCAGGGTTAATCATAGGACTGTATATGCATGTAAAATTAGCTAATTATTTATAACAATTATAATTAACTTGCAACAAAATATCGGTAGTTTTAATMTGATTATTATTAGCGTGTGAATGCATGTTAAACGTTAAAAACGTATAATTATAACTGATTATAAGTACAATTACATTATATTACAAAGAAAAACAAAACTAAATTGAAATTATAAAATTGAATTTTGTTTAATATTGTGTAATAAATATTATTGGTTATTGCACTTACGGTAAGTATTGGACTTACCTACGGAATTATAAAAACCACTTTTTAGTGATCCACCTATCGTCGGATAAAAATGATTGACCTATATAAAATAGCTAGTATAGGTACACTGAACAACTGCAGTAGATAGTTTCTATATAGGTAGTATAGGTAGTGTAGTGCAGAACGTTTCCAGACGAACGAATACATATCGGTTTCGACCGCAGTTAGTATAATGTACAGTGTACACGTATGTTAAATTCTTTTTTGAACAACAAAAATATAAAAATATAATATTTAGTAACTATATTGCGGTAAGGAGTAGCGAAAATACACGCGAAGAAGAATGACGATATAATAAAAATAATATTATATAAAACATATTACAACGTACCGTGTCTCCGTGTCTGTGCAGCAATATGCGTTAGGTATGTGGTATGTGGTACGTCAGTTTAGTTACCTAGGTATACTTACTGTTTGAATGCAGTCCATTCGGATGAAAATACGTAAAATAATAATTAGCATAAAATTAAAAATTAAATCGCAGGTACGAGCCGGAGATGAGCGTGTCACGATAAAAATAATAATAATAAYAACAACAACATTAACAATACCTATAATAAAAACAATAATATACGAGTCATAAAATTGCGCGCGCATTAGCCTACGGTAATATTTTATTGCGGTGCTCGCGATCACTGTACGACGGCCGCGCCAAAGTTGCCTAAGCACCGGAGCGGCGGCCGCCGACGCACACGGTAGCGCAGTAGTTCCGGATTACCCTCCAAGCGCGCCGCCGACCCGCGTAGTCCTGCGACCGCGTCAACCGTTCGCGCCGACGGATAACGACGAGAGATATTTCGCGCGATTTCGACTTCCGTTCACCGTTCGAATAAAAAATTCCTGCGCGGATTATAAATTTTGTTGTTGTTATAATATTATAAATATTGGTTTATTTTTTCGAATTTATATTTTCATCGATTTTGGTGGTATTCCGTCGGGGCAGTGAACGTCAGTTAACACGCTGTCGTGAATACATCTTGTGCAGTGTCCGAGTGCGATTCGGTGTTTTTTTTTTTGGCGTTACGTGATTATCGAATCCGGTTGTGTGTGTGCGTATTTTTTTAATTTCGATTTCATAGCCGTGTCGATTTTACTTATTTTTTCAAAAAAGTTTTCCGCAAATGGTTTAACTATAATATTATACTCGACGGTTTTTCCATTGGACCGAACGGCTGAAGCTACCACCGCTGTCGCCGGTACCATCCCGTCAGGCGAGAACCTAGTCGCAGTTAATTATAGGTAGGTACTTACTGCTTACCTGGGTTATTAGGCAACCGTAAACGTCAAATAATATTTTATTGTAGGCAGGCGATAGTACTGTATATTAGAATAAAACTCGAAATGTATAATATGTATGAAATGACTTGTTTTTCTACCTCGTATATTTCATATTATTATAAAATATATTATAATATATTAATCGATACGAGTATACGACTAGGTACTTATTATAAATAGTAAAATTATAAATATTAAAACGTTTCAAAATATGATTGTACCGAACTAAATGATTGTCTTTGTAGAATAAAACTCCGAGCGGTAAATATTATGAAGAAAAACCAGTAGGACCTCACGGAGTATCTAGATTTTAGGTGTTGTTTTAAATTTAAATCTATTTTAGTGAACAACGTTGATAGGGACTTTTCAATATCGGTCGAGAACAAACGACGACTTACATGTACCGCGTTACACGAACCAAAGAGTACATTAAAATAATTTTCGGAGAATTTCCGTAGACGATGCTTGATGATTTAATGCAGTACGAGTTTGTATAATATTATATACCTAAATCCAGTGTCGCGGCGATATCGTTAGACGCAACTTGCGTGATGATAACTCACGATTTCTGTTCACGACGAGCATTAGCGGCGAATGAAAATCATAATATTAATTGAAAAACAAGTAATTCACTACGACCTAATAAAAAAAGTATGATCTTTGTGTAATAATAACTAAAAACAAAAAAAATAATAAACGTTGAAAAATTAAGCCGCTTGACGAGTGCCGACCGATAAAAAAAAAAAAAAAATGAGAAACACTGGTGGAGTTCACTCGATGGTAATTGACGTTAGGTGATGGGTTACTTCCGTACTGGATTCCCATGTGTGCGTGTGTGTGTGTTTTTATTTATTTTTTTTTTGTCCATTGTCCGCTAGAACGTATTCGGTTGGTGTAGTAGCTCTACAGATCACAATGATCGCATGTGCATAATATTATTATAATAGTTGGTGTGTAGGTATCTCGTTTAATGGAACATAATATTATTAAGTTTAGCTATATAATATGTCGCACGTTTAAAGTCATATCTACGTGCTATGCGAATCGCTGGTTCTATAGTCTGGACGTTATAAAAACCTACTGCAGTTGTAGAAACCTGCATTCGTAGTGTGATCATTATTTTAGCTATATTTTATTTGAAATTTGGATCCCTAAAAAAATTTCAATTTATTTGGTACATATAATAATATTCGCAGGCCTATTACTTTGAACTCCAAGCGGCATTGCGATATTGGCTAAAGGGCGATTATTTTTTTTTTCGTTTTTCTTGTTACTGAAAACCACTTCTCTTTTGGGCCCTAAAAGTGGACAGCCATTTGTACAGAACTCTTTATAGTGTCTATATTGATTGGGAAGTAGACACATAATATGCAATTAAGCAGGAGGTCAAGCACTATAAATATTCGCAAATTCATTTTTCTTCATTGTGTCATAAAGCTATAAAATTAAGATTGAAAAACTTCCTTTTTTTTTTGAGTAAGGATCATAGTATTAAAAGCAATGTATTCATTTAAATTATACTTGCATAATATTTTTTTTAACATACTCATATGTATCTACATCGTATAAATATTTAAAATTATTTATAAATAATGAGCACTTATGAAATATTAATATTAMCTACCTAATTATTTATATTTACATTTATCTTTTAAAGTTAAGAAAGAAGGTATAAAATCTAATTATCGCTACTAATACATCAATTATGCTATAAATTATAGAAATTACTTAGATACGTGTTATATACTTAGGTATATATTGTAGCATAATCAATAATGTTTAACTCAAAATCATAAAACTACAAAAGTAACAATAAACGTAATGAAATTGCAATACATAATTACCTATACACAATAGGTACTGAATTGATTGAAAATATGTTAGTTGTGTAAATGATGTAATTAAATATCTAATAAGCTTTTGATTAATTATTTAAATGTTCTTATGTTACGATTATGCTATTTATTTTAACCTATAATAGCATTTAATTAATTAATAATACCTATTTGTAATCGGCACATAAATAATAAATGAAGACTTATAATTAATTATAATTACTCAATTAATAAGCAATATTTAGTAATATGGTAGGTAGCTTTTCGAAAAGCGCATATTGTAATAATGAGAAAAAAAATAATCTTTAACCTTATACGTTTTAGTTGGAGTTTCAATGTAACAAAATCACAACAAAATTATAAAATATTTTTCATTTGATTATCTAGAATATTATTTATTTCAAAAACCAATGTATAATTTAAAATTAAATTAGTGTAGATTATTGGTTAACTATAATCTTATAACTACAGTATTTACTATTTTGTGATTCAATTTTGACAGTTTCATTTTATTCTTAGGTTCCTATATACATATACGTATTTAATTATTTAATTTATTATGTTGAAGCCCGTACCGTATACCTACATAACCTATAGATAATTCACGAGTTCTAATATTTTCTGATTTTGATTTTCCAACATTTTAAGGTTTGTCAGTACTTTTCTAGTATACTAATAAAAATAAAAATTGTAACATTTTAAAATTAGCAGATAATTTAACTGTTTAAAATTAAATATGTCAACATCGTTATCTGAAAATGATGGAGTGTTAAGAAATTATTAACAATTCACTGTTAATACTAACAAATTTTATGTCTTCGTGTGATATATATTTGTCATAAAAATTTAAGGTAAAAATACCTATACAATTTGTATTTTTTTAATTATAGGTAATTATAACAATATTGTATATTACATTATAATGATTATAAATAGTTTAAAATAACAATCATAATATTATGACATAGAGATACAACCATGTGTTTGATGATCCATGTATATATATACATATATATATCTGTCCTAGTACCTTAAACATATTATTTTCCTACCTTAATTTTTTTTTTATAATATATTGTATTATTTTTTTAAATTATATATATTTTTTATTTTAAGACTTTTAAGTATAAATGTATATTATAAGTATGTTTGAAGTTGTAACACGTGAACAAACTTATTTATAAAATAAGCAATTTTTTGATTTTAGAAATACTTAAAAAAAAAAAAAATGCTACCATAAATATTCTAGTTATATTAGCCAATATCAAAGTTAACCTGAATACTGATGACAAGAAGTTTTTAACATAATACATAAATAAATGATGTTCTTGTATCAGGTTTTATAGGAGTTAACTTAACTTTGAATTATACAGAAACATATTACTTTTTAAACGTTTTAAAAAAAAAAATATTTTTAATTATACTGTAATATGTACTTATTTATATTATAGTGATTAATTTATACGTGTAGTAGGTTACCTATACAATATACACTAAAGGTTATCTGTCCGCCATAGATTATTATACAAAAGTAATTAAATTAACAGTAGATATTATTTAGGCCAAAAAAATACTACATAAAATACATTTTCATTGATGATATTAAATATTCATTTATTGATTACTGTTTATATTTTAAATCCTAATGTTAAAATTATGAAATACAATAATAATATGTATATTTTAAATTGTGTATAGAGTTGCATTATATATTATAATAAATGTAGATATATTAGATTATTATTATCATTAGGGAAAATTTCAATTTTTTTTTTCATAGTACAGGAATATAATTTTGTTTTCATAATATTTATTCACAGTCATTCAGTTATTTGTGTATTTGTTCTAATCTATTTTTAGATAGTTCTTATACCTAATATATTTTCGTTATACGTTGTTATATTAGCCGAAATAATATTTTATATGATTTAAAACTTAAGTACCTACCTAACATATTAAATTGATAAAATAATTTATTTTTTTAGTATTTATGTAAAATACTTAGTCATCATTTTGTTATTCTATCGTTTTCTTTAAAAATATTTGTTAGTAATTTTTTTTCAAAATTCAAAATCTATATAAGTAAAGCATGTACATATTCATATTTTTTTAAGGTGCTTTAAAACCACGCGTATACCTTTTTTAATCATTCTCAATGTAACAATATTAGAAAATAATCTAAGATTATAGAACTTGAATTTGTCCATTATGATTTTTAATCTTGATCAATTTTAATTTTATTTACCAAGCAAATGCTAACTTTTTACGCACGAAATCACTAATCAAGTCGACCTTGTTATTTATACACATTATTTTTAGCTCCTGTTTAATGTATATATTTAGCGCAGTATGAGTGGTCAAAGCAATTAATTTGTGTGACAAAAAGTTTAATAATTTTACCGTAGTTTTTGGGGGTAATTTTATTTTTTTAATATTTATTATTTGTACGGAATAGTTATGGGTACATTGTTAGTTTTATCTTCTAGTATTTTTGTGCAGAATACATACTATAATATTATATTTTAAAATGTATTTATTTGTAAATCGTTATGATTTTCTAAAATATTAAGTTAATTTTATGTTATTATCTTATTAAATATTTATAAATGTTTAATTTCTTGTTTAACTATAGTCATAATAATTTTATTTTATAATTTTAATGTCTATAATTTGTTGAATTTTACTATCATGTTAATTTATCCTGGAAACTATATACAATTTGATGTATTATAGTTAATTGTTATATTTATAAATGGGTTATATTTTAATTTCTCTATTTTTTAATGATAAATGATATTAAATTCTTAATTTACTCTATACAATACTGAATACACTATGTTAAATCATATAAGATAATCAGAGATTTAAATAAAATTGTGTTGTATTATAAATGCATATTAATATTCTGTAGTATATTAAAAAGCGGACAGTATTCAGAACCTTGATGATTAGCACTAGTCTCGCTTTTAAAAACAATCTATTTATAATATGTATGTAGTAATCTTAAAGTGTCAATAATTTTCAAGCAATTTTTCATTATAATAATATTATAATGGAGATTTACTGTAGATATGGGAGAGTTAAATTATTTAAGATTTGTTATTGTTTTAAATGTATAAAAATATCGTAAGTCAAATATTTTCCTATGATTTGGTAAGTTTTAATTTATTAAAGTATTATTATATACGCATTTTTACATGCGAATGTATACTACTATTATTATAGGGCAGTGGCGTATATAAGGGGGGGGTTGGTGGTTCAAACCCAACAAAGTTAATTTATAATAATAATTAAATTCCTTTTTTTATCCCCCCCACCCCTAATTAATTCCGATAATATACGCCGCTGACCACTAGCCACAGTTTGTATGAACGAGTGTGGTAACTACAAATGGATATCCGAGTAGATATTTTATATTAATATTGTGCTAATTATGACTTAGAAATAGAAATTTATCGACCATACACGATTTTAGTACCCAACAATAGTTTATTTGTAGTTAAAAAACTCAAGCGTGTTCGATTATTACGGACGTGCACACGTATATTATTGTATTATTGTAGAATTTTGTATTCGGTAGAATTTGTATATTATTGTAATACCAATAAAAGTCTTAAAAAAATATGTGTTATGTAGTTATAAATTATAACACTGCTATAACCTAAAATATATTATACTCGATATTATAGGTATATAAAATATACTTACTCGTACTTACGATAAACTATTATACGAGGCATAGATTTTTTAGAAATGTGAATGCATACTTATGCTATGATACCATTAATAAACTTAATGATAGTTATAAACGTTAATCGATTTATAATTGTGCATCTCGTTCGTCAAAACTACCCATAACTTTTTCAATACATTCAATATATATTTTTATTAGTATTAACTGATATGTTAACAATAAAAATTTAAAATTATATAATATGATTTATATAGGTAATTATACAAAGATTTTGTAAAAAAATTGATCATCATACCGTATTACCTATACAAATATAAATTACTTTTAGTGGTAATACATATATTATGTTTTGAAATAGTCTTAAATATCAATATACATTAATATAAATACACGCTCTATAACCGCAGATAATCATTTTTCGTGTATACAATAACTTACCATTGAATTAAAATTATATACACCCATATAATTGAATTATTACAGAGTACAGTAATCTATTCAAATTCGAAGTGGTATCAACATTTTGCATATTCCTTGCGCCGTTATTAGTTAATTATTATTTCTCTATAAAATTATTCTTACAATATAAAATATAAAATTCTCTGTGAGAAAAGTATATCAAAGATTTTTTTTTTACTTAAGAATTATACAATTTATGTCCAAAGGTATAATAAAAATATGTTCTATATTAAATTAATACATGACAAATAGTGAGGGAAGAAACCATTCAGTGATCGCACTTATTGTTTACGAACTACGAGGTGATTAGGTATTAAAAACAAGCATTCAAAATATCAGCTAACATCCATTTTTCAACATTTAGAACTAATTTTTTACTATTTATTATATGCGTAGGTATGTATGAATATAATTTATTCTTAAGTTTACTGTTTATTGTGATGTTACCATTTGGAGCGCTGTACATTATTTTTTGCTAGTTGTTTCATACGTCACTTTATCAGAAGCCAAATGGTTTATTACAATAAATCGTATTATTATTTTTACAAGCATAAGAAAAGTTTATGTCGTCACATATTTTACTATATTATGTTATTTTACCTAATGCCTAATGAATGAAACTAGTGAGAATAATATTTTTATCTTTTTTATTTCAAATCTCAAAATGTAGAGTACATTATTGCAGATTATTTACAGAGTTATTATGGATTATAAGTTATAAGTTATTCATTTTGTACAGTCATTTTTAAAACGTGGATGATACATTTTAAGATCATTAATATTTCAAGAAGAAGATGTAAATAATACAATCATACTAATAAACATAATATGTATATTATAGTAGAATTGTATACAAAAATTAATACTAACTATTACCTAATTCTATATATATATATATATATATACATATATAATACTAACAAAAAATTAAGATCCCCGAAGAGGACAATTAGAAAAAATATAGGATATAGACAAATTAATTAAGCATTATATGCTCTAAGTTAATATCAAACCTTCGGAATAAAATTAATAATTAGGTAGGTACATATAGGTACTTATTGCTTTAATTATTGTTGGTATTTGTTTTTTTTATTTCACATCTTTCTGTCTTGTCATAAGTGTAGGTCTGGTATAAATGTAATCTTATAATGTTAAGGGAGATTGGATTAGGTTTGGTGGCATATTGGTTCTTTAATATGAATAAAAATATACCAATTTATCGATTTAAGGGTTTAAACTAACTACAAAAAGTAATTTATATTATGCCCTGTGTGGATGTTTTATTTCATGATATGATTGGGTTCACTAAGGCATTAATACTCACTATGGTTTCGATCTTTTGATCTTAATATTTTAAGGAAGAAAAAATAAATAATAATAAATATAAAATTAAGTACCAATTTGATTCCAATATTATTGGCTTTATACAAGTATTTTATTACATTATTACATTATCACATTTATTAATATATAGGAATAAATTGTATATAATATACAAGAATACAAGAATAGGTTAATTTAGTTAATACTTGGTATATACCTAGGTACAAACAAAAGATTTATTCAATTTAGGTTGATTGATTTATTGACTTTATTGAATAAAGGTCGAATTATGTTTATTTTAACGAAAATAATTTTATTAAATTATATGAAGCCGTTTTTTTTGTTTTACTCAGGGCAGAATGAATTATGCTATGAATTTAGTTGCCATTTTAAAATATGTATCATTGCAATATTTTTCTATAAATCTTATTGAATAGCCATCTTTTTTTTCGTTTGGTATTGCAACTAAGGTGAGAACTATGATAATCAATATAAAGATATACATTTATTGGTTATGTGTTTTATGAATTTGATTTTGATCTTTTTCAATAATTACTTGTAAGGTGACTCACTGCCCAACAATGTCATATAATACTATATAATCATAAAATATCAAAGAGTTTTTTGTATTTTTGTATAAAAGGTAGTTTTTTAATTTTATCAAAAAGTAATGCTGTTTTAAAGTGTAAGAAAAAATAATGATAGATAACTACCAAGTTATTTTTAAAAAATGTCAGCATCATGGTTTTAAGTTTTAACCGATCAAATTCTGTTAAGAGAGGTTTTTAAAGCACGATGATTTATTATTGCTTTCAACATAAATAACAAAAAATACTATACTATATACTAATTTTTTTTGCACCACCGCTATGCAGTTTACGGAACAATGCAGTGATTTAGGTTTTTCTGATTTCCTTATATTATAATCAACACTGAAGTGCAATACATGTTTAATTTAAATATCCAAAAGTTACTGTTACTACCCAAAAACTCGTAATTAGGAACACTACTGTAAAATTGTTTATTTATATTATCCTTTGCTTTGCTCTGAACATAAATGTACAATAAAATGACCGAAGTGACAAAAGTTTAAAATTCACAGTCTGACTACAATAACTGGTATAAGTAGTTTAAATTATTCATTAACTTGGTTAAATATAATTTCAAGATTAATTTAATTATTTTCTTTATATCACACTTTATTGTGTGTTTGACTTTACTCCAAAATTATTATTGATGATGTTATATTTTAAAATCATTATTAATATTTATATAATACATATATTATAGAATTTTATTGAATATTCTTTATTTAATACATTTTGTTTAGTAGTTGTAATAATGTATTTTTTGTGTGTCCTAAACCGTGAATAAAAATTAGATAATATTTATGATTTGAGTTAATATATTTTATTTTGAAATTATCATATAGGTAATATTTTAATTTTTAATCATAAAATTATGATTTATATATAAAAAAAAACTCATTATTAATGGTGTGATGCAAATAAAAATGTTGTCATTACAATTTAATCAGTAAAAAAAAATTTTCTACTGATAAATATAATATTTAAAGTTTAAACATTGAGGTTTTACTTATTCAGATATGAGTTAAATTACAAATTTCAAATTTAATTGTGAAATTTAATATAATTTTAAAAAATAATATTTAAATACATAAGTATATATGATTATTTCAATGAAATTAAATGTGGAAAGTTTCAATAATAGGGGTGGACTTTTTAATTAACCTGTGATATCAAGTTTGTGAAATAAAGTTATTTAATTATAATCGTTGAAAATTATATTGTTTAATTTATTTATATATTATATATTCAAGATTTAAATCATAATAATTTAAGTTTGTATTTGTTTATAAATTGTTAATTTTTTATGTTTCAGATATTCAATCAATTAAGAAATACAGGTAATACTTTGTTTTATATCATGCATATTTTATTAGGTATTATAGTTTAGTTACAAAATACCTATACACTATTAATATATATATATATATATATATGCATATGCATAAAAGTATTTATAAATTATATATGTTGTATAAAAATAAAAATATCAAAAATAATTTTGAATATATTGTATGTATTGAAAGTTTGATAACAATGTGTTGGCTATAAATAATTGTAAATATCCAATGGAAGAATAGATCGTATTGTAACTATGAATATAATTACAAAATTAATTTAACACTTTTCCTTTGTTCAAGATTTTATAAAAATGTAATTCTCAACCTTTTATTATAGAAATACTTTGAGGTGCAGACACAAAGGTATAACATTTCTTTGAGAACTGTAATACTTAAACGAAAAGATAATACATTTTTCTTGGGTATTATGAACATAGTATTTAGGTGTATTATTATTTCTCCTAAGATTTCACAGATAATAATTTTCTTAATTTATACCAGATTATATATCTGAAACTATTTTAGTTAAGTTATTAGATTCGTAATATGTCGGGCATAAATATATGTAGTCTTAGGTACAATTAATAGTAATATACAAGTATAGTTACGTTACGAGCTAAACATAAATACCTACGATAAGTCTAAAATTAATGCATGGATAGGTAATTTTAATGAAAAGTAACAACATTTAATATGGTTTATCTATACTCTTTCCACAAGCTATAAAAGATTTATAACATATTTAGTTTCTGTAACAATAAGCTACGATTAAATATATCGTGATAAATGCATCAGTGTCAAATATATTAATTTAATATAACATAAAAGATTATTATTATATTTATTTATTTATTTAATTATCTATTAACTGTATGCAGTATGCATATTTGTAAAACAAATACCTTGTACATTTTTAATTATACCGAATGTTAATGTTTAAAAATACACATATTTAAGATTTACGTTCAATATGGAAATATATTATGTATAATTATTTGGTATAATATCATCATAATTTAAATGTGCATTACTTGATAAAACATTAAAAAATTCATCGACTATCCCTTATTTTGAATTTGTTTTGACTCTAATCGATGAAAAATCTGCATGTATTACATTTAGTTACTGAGTAACAAATTAATGTAACTATATATTTTTTACTAAATTCATTATTATATAGGTAATCATTAATCATATTTTACTAACATATTTTAAAAATACTTGATATAATATAATTTGGAACTAGAGAGTAGTATAAAAATAATAACTAAKATGATCACATTAATTCATATTATTTTTTAATTCATCATATTACATTTTTAATTTATAAAACTAATAACCTACCTATAATCAATTTCTTTTCGATTCTCATAATGGGAATTGCTTTAAATTTTATATTCCCCTGACAGCCCGTTTTGGTAGAATGATTTGGTGCAGTAGGAGGGGTATTTAACATTCTTAGCATTCATGTACGAGTAAAACGGCACGCCAGGGACACGTTACCGCGTGTGGTATACCAACGAGTCTCTTTCTATCATTGTCCACTTTCCTTGCCACCACCATGCAACGTTTTGTAACGCACAATTCATCTTTATTGCCTCCGCTTTCTGTTCATCCATCGTAGGGTTTAAACAGAATAAACCAGGTAGTGCCACCCATTTCACAAATGCTATTAAAAGGGCCACGTACTTGGGAACCGTTTTCCACCTATCCTTTTTTGATAGTAATGCACCTTATTTCTATACATTTATCTATACATAATGATGAAGGTTACCAAAACAACAAATGATTGTTGTGCTTTTGTAGAACACTTACAAATAGTCTTATTTTATTTTTCTGTACAATTAATTTTTTTTTTTAGTTTATTTATATAACTGTTTCAATACACCTAATATCTTTACAATATTTTTTTTTTTCAAAGTTTATTAAGGCTTCAACAACACAGGTTTTTAGCCTACTTTAGTTAAAATTTTACAATATTATGAAGTTAATTAATTAAGGTTTACAAATAAGTTTACGGATAAATTTTAGCTTGATTATGAGTCTTTATTGTCTTCTTCTTGAGCTTCAACTGCTTCAAGTAAAATATATTGGGGTAGCCGTGGCTCTTTAGTCTGTGGTTTTTGGTTCTTTTCCCTATGTTGAAGTGAAAGCCACTTTCTATTGTTTTAATTTAGAATTCATTGATCCATGTGGTTGGGTATGGCATTCCAGTGTCTTTATGGGTTGTGTGTTTCGCATGTACCACGGGGATTTAAGAAATACCACGAGAAATTTGTTTTGTATCGTTTGAAATTTTTGGGGTAATTTTTTGTTTGGGATGCGGCTGCCCATATAAGGCATTCATATGTAATTAATGGTATTATTATTGATGTGTATATTAGAAATGGACATTTAATCTGAAGTCTTGAACTGTAATTTATTACGGGGTATAAGATTTTCAACTGTGTATAGGCTTGGTTTAATTTTTAATTTATATGTATTTTCCGTGTTAATTTTTCATCAAGATAAACTCCAAGATAATTTAATTGATTGATTTTTATTATTTCATAATATAGGCTGATTTTTAATTTTTAATCGAGTTGGATTTGTATATCTCCTTATGGTAGATATTTTTCCTTCGCTCTTAACCCAATTAAAAGTGAGTTTCCATTTTACAAACCAGTCTGAAATGTATACAAAAATAATAAAATCAATAAGAAAAAAAATTATATTTATCTTAAGTAAACGTAAAAAATTAAAAAAAAAATTGATTATTTTATTAGATTTAAAGCGTTTGATTAAAAAAAGTCTTTCTTTATATGATAAAAATCTTATTAATAATATTTTTATTATATTTTTTTTCTTCATACCAATTAAATAATCTAATCATAAAAAAATTGATTATTTTATTATATTGGTTTTTAGTTATCAAACATGATGTATATGTTACTATTATACTATTTTTTATATTTATTTATTATGATCAATAATAATAAAAACATAATATTCGTATTATAAAAATATAAAGTAGTATACCTAGGAACTTATTACAAAAGTACCTATGCATATATTATATTTTATTCTTCACGTATTTATGTCATTCTTCTTATTTGTTTAGAGTCAACTTTTGGCGTACGAACATTGAAATTTAGAAAAGTGTGATTAAGTACTGACATAAATCATTTTCGATCCACCTAGACCTAAATATTTAAATTTGATAATTGTTTAGCTTCGCATTACAATTTGCCGTTACGCGGGTTATGACTGTACATAAAATGAAGCTTAAGTCTGAACAACAGATAAATATACGAGTATATATAAAATTAAGTACTAAATTTACTTAAAGTTTGACATTAATTTGTGGAAATTAACCATAGGCGAAGTGCCCTCTCGTAGCGGAATAGCACCGTGGTTCATAAAAAATGTTTTTAAAATTATTAAAAATGTTTTTTATGAATTTAAGTATTTGATACGATTGACGAAATAAAAAGTAAATTATATGTGAAATGGATTTTTGTTCCTTGGAAATCTTAAATTGTATATGGAATTGAAAATGAAGATTTCATTACTAGCTTACTATGTTTAGTGTGAACTCATTTCGTACCTAGTTTTGATGATTTACCTAAGTTTTATACTATAGATATTTGAATATAAATGTGCATATTTAAGTAAAACTTTTGTAATTTAAATAATATAATATGCAAACGAATACTTTTTTCGAATGTTTTCAAGTTCAAATAAAAAAGCGGTAAGTGGATGTCGCGCTGCTGTACATTAGGTAGTGGGGTAGACCTCTGACTAGGGTAGGTTAGATTTGAATGCAATGATAGGTATCATTGTATACTAAAAACGATTCTGAACGGAGATGATTTGTCAGTCTAGGATATATATTATATTTAAATATTGTCATATATTCTATTTTGAAACAAATATTTTATTTTTCAATTAGGACGCATTTTGCATAAGGCATGGTTAATCAAT